GGTGCAGGTCCTGGCGCCGTGGTAGCTGCACAACCCTCCGAAAGCCAGGGGAGGTGAACCTCCTGGCCAAGCTAAACTCACCTCCAAGAGGCAGCATCCCCTCGGATTCCCCCTTTCTCCCCCCTGCTGCAGCATCCCCTCCCTGGCTTTGCACTCCCATGAACTCTAATTTTCCCCACCGGCTGGGAAGGGGTGGGAACAACCGCACCAGCAGCTCTGCTTGAATCTGCTTTCCTCGTGGGACACGGAGAAGGAGATTCCTTTGCCGAGCTCGTTTTTTCTCTCCTCTCCTCCTCCCAGCCATTTTTGCCTCAGGAAAAACTGCTGGTGCCCCTCTCTGGTTAAAAGTTTCGGCCGCGCTGATGCCCGCAGTTACTGGGTGGGTTCTGCGTTAGCAGCCAGCACACAAGAACCCGGTTTCTCTCCGGTATCAGGCACACGGGGCAACGTGCCCTCTCCTAACCCTGCTGGGTACCTTGGCATCTCCTCAGCGTCCCCCTCACGAGGGCGTTTCTCTGAACGAAGTCCTCAAGTCCTCTTTCCAGCTCGGAAGAAATCTCCACCGGAGGGCTGAATTTCATCACCTCGCAACTGCAAAGGAAGCAAAAGAGGGCAAAGGACACGCGTGACGTATCTGATCGCTCGTTTTCTTCTCGTTAAACAATCCAGGAGGGGCCACAGGGTGGGCTGAGGATACTTAGCCAGGAGCAAATAAAATCCCCCTTTTCCCCTGCCCTGTTTCTTTGCAGTTTGTTTCCCCCAGGCCGTCGCCGGACGGACATTTCTGAACACGGAGCGCCACCGTGGGAGGCCGAGCTATCGTCTGCATCCCCCTGGTCTGAAACCCCGACCTCAGGGCTGATCCAGGTGGCATCCAGACCTCTCCAAGCACCAGAGTGAGAAGGAGCCACGTTACCTATTCAAGAGTCTTCTGATGTCCTAAAGGTGGGAGGAGAGAGGAGAGATGGTTGGGGAAGAGCAGTGACACGTGTTGTGTCTCCTAATAAAAGTTACGTGTTTTTATGGCGATGTAGTAGTGAAGAAGGACCCTGCCCACACGCTGATCCCACCTGCAGCGACGCTAGAAGACACCAGGGAGCTCCCATGGGGCTGAATTGGAGCTCCCAGGTCTCAGGCTTTGCTCTATCCCTCCCCTCCCCGCCGGCCCTGGGCTCTCACCTGCAGGAACTGGCTCGCCGGCTGCTGGAATTTCCCCTCCATCTCCCAGATCAGGGTGTCGAGGTGGGACATCTCCTCCAAGACCTTCACCACTGCTTCCTTCTGGGCCCTGGTGATGGCCTGCTCCAGGTCTATCAGCTGGATCAGGAGGAGGCGCTCTTGGTCCTTCAAAAATTGGTGCAATTGCTCGAATTCACACGCTATCTTCTTTGCTTCGTTTCTGGTTTTCTCCTGCGAGGATCAGAGATGAGGGCAAAGGGGAGGAAAGAGGGGCAGGAGACCTCCCCACGCAGCTGAAGGCACGGCGCGACCTCTCTCCGGCTCTAGCCCCTGAAACACTGGCGAAAACGTCCCTCGTGGATCATTTTCCCGCCATTCCGGTTATCCATTCGTGCCGCGTCTCGGAGGCTGACGCAGTTTGCGGGGCCGCGACCACCCCGGGCCTTCGCAGAAGGAATCGCAGTCGCCTCGGGTGAGGTTCTACAAGATGGGCAGGAGACGACGGAGCGGGGCTGCGGAAAGATCCCGCTACACCCAAGCGAAACAAACTGGCGCTCCAAGGCCACCAGGCTGGTCTCAGGAGACCGCGTCCTCGGTGGTGTTTCGGTCAATACACGGGTGAATTTAACCACAAACCGCCCCGCTGTGGGGGGTAGCAGGGGCTACTCAGGAGGCTCAGCCTGGGAGCAAAGCCAAAAGATGCCTCAAAACCTCAAGCGGGCTCTATAAGAGGGAGATTTCTAGAGTTTAGGGGGGGGGGAAAAAACCCCCACCCCTCCAGCCCATCTACGCCGGGCGGGGGGCTGTCTGCCCGCCCCAGGCTCCCTCGCAGAGGAGCTGCCACGCTATCTCCCCGCTGCAGGCCCCAGCTGATGCGAAACCCCAGCAGATAAACGCGGGGTTGGCCGGCGCCCGGGGCGAGCGCCCCAACACTCTGCAAAGCAAATAGCGCGAGGTCTGGCCTCAAAACACGCCGGCAGCGCTGAGGCGCGTGGGGAGACCCGCGGTCCCTGCCGGAGGGCGCCTACCAGGTACGAGCTCTTCCGTACTCCGGTTTTGCTGCTTTCCAGGTATTTTTCTCTCTCCTCCTTCAAAGCCTGTAGGCGGGCTTGGATTTCCTCCTGAGGAAAACGAAAAGATGTTCTTGGAGGAGCTGAGAAAAGTCCTTTTTCTCCACTAAAATTGCTTCTGCCCTCGTCTTAGGTGGGAGAGGCTTTGCCTAAACACTGGCGTTTCTGTAAGGAGCCGAGCTGGAGGAGGAAGAGGAGGAGGAGGAGGAAGGTCCAAAAGCGACCGACGCTATCCTGAAACGCCACCTGCGAGCCCCGACCTCGCTGCAAGCGCAGGGAGGAGCTCTGCAGGAGAGCAAAACGCCAACGGTCGCCAACAGCCCGTGTCCAGGGAAGCGTGTGAGAGCAAGATAAGCGCGGGGTGAGGTTTCCCTCAAAACCACTGCCGGCCTCCAGAAACTGGCGGCTCTGGGATAAACATCTCTGTGTTTCATACCCCCCGGTGGATTTACTCAGCTCGCGTTTCTGGAAGTGCTTCCTGAAGCCGCAGAACCCCTCAGCAGCAGCGGCGCCTTGCAGCCAGGAGTTCCTCCCGTTCACGCCGCGCGGCGTCGCGCCGCGTTTGCGCGGCTCTGCCGAGCGCTGGGCTTTTTGGTGAGAAAAGAGGACGAGGACAGGGCTGGATCGGCAGGAGAACAGAAAAGGAGCAGAGAAGGGGAAGCGACAGGACAAAGAGGTTTCCTCCTGTTTGAAACTAAAGAGGCAGCGGACAGGGGAACAAAACCTTTCTTCAAGGTCCCTTCTGGCCTAAAGCTTTCTACAGTTCTATGAAATATGCAAAATTGCCCTCAGTAACTGATGTAACCACGCAAAAACACACACAAAAAAAAAGAATTCTTGGGCATTTTTACATGTTTCGAGTATTTATCGTTGTCAGCATTTCAGTAGAGATGGGTCAGCCCCAGAGCTCAAAGAGGAAAAGGGCCAACGAGGTGGGTTTTTTTTATTTCTCCCAGGCTGTTGGCAAAGATGGCTAAATTAAAGCGGGGCAGGGGGGGAACCCGGGTAGGAGCGTTGTGGAAGAGAAATGTCCACGCGATGAAACGCCAGCAGGAAGCACGTGGGTGAGCGACACCCAAAGCCCCCCCCGTTTGCAGCCGCGCCACGGAGCTGCACCGAGAGCGGACGCACCCCAACGGCTGCGCTTTGCCCTTGGAAAAGGGAATTTTTTTCCCCTGGGGCGGGGAGGTGCGAGCTCACCCCCCACCCCGGGGCTTCACCTTGTATTCCTGGGCAGCTTCTTCGACGGGGACCACGGCGTGGAAGCGGTGGGCCTGGGACCTGTCGCACACCACGCAGATGGGCTCCCGGTCCTCCTTGCAGAAGAGCTTCAGAGCCTCCTGGTGCTGCCGGCACAACCCCTCCCGTCCCGCCGCCCCTCCTGCCGCCCGCCCGCTCAGCTGCCTGGCGATGTCGGCGATATTGGCCAGCTCCCTGCTGGGACGGAAACTCCTCTGCGACGCCGTCTGCCTGCACTGCGGGCAGGAGAAACGCTCCTCCAGCCCTTCCCAGCAGCGGGTGATGCACGCCCGGCAGAAGTTGTGCCCGCAGGGGATGGGGGCGGGGGCCCTGGA